TCCCCCCCCGTCCCCTCCACCCCCCCACTCAATTTCCCCCCTTCCCTTCCCCCGCTGCCCCCTCGCTGCTCTTTCCCCCCCGCTGCCCCCCGCCACCTCCGAAGCTGCTTGCCGCTCGGGCCTCGCTGCTTGCCGCTCGGGCCTTATAATCAGGTGCTTCTGCTCCTAATAGTCTCCAAAAGGAGTCCTAAATATGATTCATTATAGGAATTTCTCTCTGAAATGTTGCCATTTTTAATATTTGGGCTGTGTCCATTTTTTTTCCTTACACAAACTCACAGACTATCTTGACTGACCTACCTAAACATTAAAAAGGAATTCTTGGCAAGCAATGGCCTATATGGTGGTGAATGTATGTGTGAAGAAATTTCTATGGTAATTGTAATTATTATATTAATATGTTCTCTAAATCCATCCATAGAATGTTGAGCATATAGATTCACCTATGTATGGTTAGCATTCCGAATTTTAAGAAGACATTGCACTTTGAATATCAGTTTTGTTTAATCTGAGAGAAAACCAAGGCCTTTTCCTCATATAATGTTATCTGCTTTGGGTCAAGATCCTCGGGTTAAAGGTGGACAGCAGCATATAGATGTTTTAAAGTAAATAAGTATTTGAATTCAGATTGATCATACTAGTGCAAATGATGAGGACAGTCTAATCAAAACAGGTAATTGATATATTGCTAACAGATCTGTGAAGAATCTAGGATTCATCTCATGGAATTATTTTTAGAAAAGATAATCCGTGTGAACGGTTTGTTTGTTACTTCAAAAAGCTGATCTTAAACTGCCTTGATATTTTACATCCTTTTCTGTTCTTTTTGCAATCTGATACATGATGAAGAAATTTTCCCCTAGGATAGTAATTTTAGAAATTATTGATTCATGTGAAGAAATGCATTTTTTCTTTGGAGGTTTGAAATGAGCAAAACTTTCACTCTGAGTTTTAAAAGTTTTTTTTTATCTCCCTGGTCAAAGAACAGGCAGGAGGGGGAGAAATCAGTTCAATTTCTTTCCAGACTTCCCTCAGCCTACCTTCATACAAATAGGGTTGCCAGCCTCCAGGTGGGGCCTGGGGATCTCCCGCTTTTACAACTGATCCCCAGCTGACCGAGATTAGCTCCCCTGGAGAAAATGGATGCTTTGAAGGGTGGACTCTATGGCATTGTATTATGTTAAGGCCCCTCTCCTCCCCAAACCATGCCCTCTCCTGGCTCCACCCCCAAAGTCTCCAGGTATTTTCCAACCCAGACTTGGCAACCCTACATACAAATGATAATAGGTCTAGCTAGAGATGATTGAATGGGTCTGTTCCCCCCCCCCCACCCACCACCCACCCCTGCAGGGAACAGAGACTTGGAGGAAGTAAGACTAGAAAGACTTCAGAAAGACATTTCTGGAGACGTCAGGAAAAGCTTCCTTGATCTGGCCTGATTGGGTCAGTAGGTTGGGAAAAGAGAGACGATAAAACTCCCGAAAGCAAGGAGGAAGCTCTTTTTTGTGCTGAGTCAATCAGAGCAGACAGAACTCTTAACTGAGGTCTGGAGGAGGTAGCCATTAAGAACAAGAAAAGATGGATTTATACCCCACTTTCCATACTTGAAGGAGTCTCGGAGCAGCTTACTTGCCTTCCTTTCCTCTCCCCACAACAGACACCCTGTAGGTGGGGCTGAGAGAGTTCTGTGACTAACCCAAGGTTACCCAGCTGGCTTCATGTGGAGGAGTAGGGAATCAAACCCAGTTCTCTGGATTAGAGTCCACCACTCTTAACCACTACACCATGCTGGCTCTCCATGTGCTGGCTTGAAGAGCTGCATGACACTTCAAGGTAATAGTAACTCTGTAGAGATCTGTAACTTCCTAAGCTAAGGAGCCTGTCCTATATTTTAACATCTGATAGGGTATGTATATAGAGAAAGGGACAGAGGAATTGCATTTTACCCATTTCTTTTGAATCCCTTGTTCAGATTGGCGCTGTGCTAAAATTATGCTTGTGAACATTTCCTTTTTAATAAATGTTTTATAACTTTTGATGCTGGTAGGGGTTCTCTGTACTGCACAGACCTCCACTGTCTTGGACACACTATTTTAATTGGAGCCCGGAGGGGGAAGACAGGCAGTTGGCAAATGGCTATTCCTCCAGCACTGTACAAGGCAGTAAATGGTCACCATGGTGATCAGGCACTGGGCAGCAGGAGACACAAAGGCAGAACTTGGCAGGCCTCAGAACTTGGCAGGCCTCAGAACTCCCAACAGGTAATTTTTTACAAAGGTCAGGTGGTGGCAGTAGTTACCCCAGAGGGAAAGAAAAGCCTCTCCAGGTGTTGGGAAAACCTTGGAGATCAGGGTGGAACAGGGCCTGCAGGACTGAGCAGGCCTGTTCCACCACAATTCCTAATAAAGTATGGTCAAAGAATGCAGGCTGTCTATCAGACTCCACTAGTGTGTAGATTGGGAGGAGAATATGAAGTATCCATATGGCTGCACATCAGAGCCAAAAATTATGACTGAAAATAGGAAATGAAACATTTACAAGCATTAGCCTGGATGTTTTTAAAGCCTTGCATTTTATTATCTTTCCTTTAAAAGTTAGCACTAGACACTTTGAGAAGACTGAAGTAATGGTACTGCAGCAGCCTTTGATGAATACTTCACAGATATAAACCATCTGGCCTGTGTGTGTGTGTGGATTAAAGAGTAGTGTATGTGACTTTCTGAGTGAGGACCCATTACCTGCACCTGGAGAAGCAGAAACATGAGTTGCAGCCCAGACAAGCTATGTTGCATGGTCTAGAGAGGGAGATGGTGGCATGTTACAAACCTGACCCCAGAAAAACCTTCTCATTGTATCTGTGCCAGGCTCAGGGAAACAACCAGAAGTCTGGGAGAAATCAGAATGCCACCTCTCAGCTGTTCTCTCCTGCGTCCCTCAGGACTGTGATTGAAACTTCTGCCTCATATGGATGAATCCTGAATGGGCAGCAAGAGAGGAGGTCTGCACCTGCTCTTCTGTTGCCGCCTGTCTGGGATTTCCCATACAAGGTGAGCTGCAGAGCAAACAACGTTACAGTCTGCCTTTCAGGGATGGATTCTGGATAAGATGCAGGTAGGCCTCTTGGGGTCCATCTCTGGAAGGAAAGCTGCAGATACATTTGCTATGGAGCCTGCCTCACACGGAAGATCCTGGGGAGCAATCATCCTGGGTCCCATTCATGAAAAAAAGGACCCTGGGAACCATCCATCAGTTATTTGCATTATAGCTTACCTCACATCTGAGGACAACTGCCTTCTCCTGTGGTGCCCCAAGCAGGTGCTTGCTATCTTGGGTGATGAACCAGCTGTAGGTGACAGCAAGGGCAGCTTCCTCCTCCTTGTTGCCCGTGCTTGACTTGAGCAGTGGTAGCAGGAAGAGGTTCCTGCTCTCCTCCCCTTCCATGCTGCTACCACCGCTCATGTTTAGGGCAGTCTAGAGGCAGAGGCTTTGCATTTTAAAAAAGCCTCTGCCTCTAGACTGCTCGCAGCAATCTTGTTCTCTCCCCACTTGTAATCAGCAAGGGACTGAGATGTCCTTGGAAGTGTTGTGCTATCCTGACTGTTAGGGATGGGGTGGTGCTTCTCAGACCTCTCTAAGAGTTCAATGGGATTTATCTAAATACAGATAGGTTAGCAACCACAACCGATTGTGATAGGATGCAGCACTGAAACCTACTTAAACAAGAAAAAAAATAGGGTTGGATGATTCCTGAAAGCTTTTGTTTGAACTTGGCTGGTTCCTGTCCTCAGTGCAGCACTTGTTATTTTATATAACAAATGCTTATGCTGCCTTTCTGTAGAACCTGCCTGAGGTGGGTTACAAAATAAACATAATAGAAACAAAACATTAGAAGTTATTAAAATCCAGCATTAAAAACCCAGCCACAGTATAAAAATGTGGGCCACTAAGCATCTTAAAATAAGAGTTTTCAGAGCAAAAGCACACTAAAGCAGTGTGCATTCCTAAGGTATTCCTAAGTAAGGTGCTATGACGGACTCCTGCTTCTTCTTCTCTGTGAGGCAGATGTTCCCTCCAAAACACTGTTCCCCACTCTGACTGAGCAGCCTCTTAGTAGCATATTTGAATTATAGAATTACTAGTAATAAGGCCTGTTGTGGAAATAAATGAAAGAAGCTCTAGAGCAGGGGTCCTCAAACTACGGCACGCGGGCCACATGCGGCCCGCCGAAAACATTTATCCGGCCCGCCGGGTGTTTTTGCCGCCGCTGCCTGTCCTGCTTAGCAGCCGACTTGTCCTGGGCCCGCAGTGCGCATGTGTGGAATGTGCACCGCACTCAGGGCCCAAGTCAATCAGGGCTCAAGTCAATCAGCACATGATGTGGTCCTCTTCTCAGTTCCGCACCGCGTGGCTTTGTGGAGGAGGGGGGGCAGGATGGTCGGCTAGTTCCGCCCCCACGCCCGGCCCCCACTCCACCCCCGGCCCGACCCCCGGCCCTCCAACGGTCTGAGGGACAGTGAACTGGCCCCGTTTAAAAAGTTTGAGGACCCCTGCTCTAGAGAGAGGGTCTGGGAGAGTGCTGCGGCCTGCAGCAGTTGCCCTCCGACAGCTGCGGCCAAGTGCCATGGCCAGCCCAGCGCAGGACAGGAGCTGTGCTGTGCCAACTGCTGCTGTGGCCGGGAGGCCAGGCGTCACTCTGGGCAGGATGGTGAGCCCACCAGCCCCCATCTGGCGGGCTGAACTGTGGCCTGTGCTCTGCCACAGCGCTGCCCCCCCCACTTCGTCTACCACCGCATGGGGGGCCTGGAGCCACCGCGGAGTTGCCCCAGCCAAGTGGACAGTGAGGGAGGGAGTGGGGCGGCACCAACATGGAGGGCTGGGCATATCGCGCCTCTGCCGCCACCGCCCACGCCGCCGGATACCGGGCAGGACCAGAGCAGCCACCTTTGTGGGCGGGTGCTTGGCGAGTGAAAACTTTGGCAGTGGCAGCAGCAGGTGTCCCTGGGTCCCCAGCAGCAGCAGGACTCCTGGCCCCATTCCGCCAACCCCCACTCCGCCTCCTCTTCCCCCTTCTCCCTCAGTACAGCATCATGACTCCCCGGCTCCCACCCACCTTCCTGGTAGGCCGCTTGGTGGCAGCTACCTGGAGCATTGGTGGATCTGTAGCGGGGCAGGTTGAGTACGGCTCCTCCTCCTAAATGAGCATTGGGCAGCAGACAGGGGCAGGCATCGGCATGCACTGCCCATAGGCACCGGCTTCAGCGCAGGCTGAGGCTGGGTACGGCAGAGCAGCAGAGCAAAGCAGGAGGGCCGGAGTGTCCGTCTTCTGAGGGAGCCGGGCACAGTCTGAGGTAAATTTTCACGGGCTTCTGTGGGTGGGAGTGAAGCAACGGAGCCAATGACATCCTGACCCAGTGCAGTCAGGGGATTGGCAGACGTTCTGAGTGGCAGATCAGGCACCCAACTGATTTCAGCACGCATCAAATGTTGCCAGACAAAAATGGAATTATTATATAGGAGAGATAACTTTCTGTGTATTCCACCCTGTGATAGAGAAGTTATTTAGCTTTTGCCAAAGCCAGAGATTTTTGAAACTCAGCAGGAGCCCTCTTATAAATCCCTTTTCGAAATGGCACTTGACACAAAGTAAAGTTCAAACAGAAAGTTCGATTTTATTGAACAGGCATAGCTGAGTTAGGAATAGGGCAGGGTGTGAGAAGTTGAGGTAAATTTGGATGTTTATAGAAATGTATATCCCATCCTTCCCGTGACTTAGAGACTCCATTCTTAACTGTGATAGGTTTGTTTGTCTTGGAGATTTCTTTCAGCAACAATGTATCTTAATAAAGGTTCATAAAACTATCTTAGTTTCCAGGAAAGTATTTTCTTCCTGTATTTAAATACTTTCCTTGTGGGATTATAACTTTTCCTTTTTTAATCTTGAGAAATCTAAGACTGTTTCCCTTTTCACACAAACCAGGAGTCCCTTCTGAGTTGAACCCTCTGAATAACTGGGTAAGAAATATCTTCCTCTTTCTAGGAGCGATAATCCTTTTCTGTTTGGCTAGACAGCCAGTTTCCAACCTCCTGTCCAGTTTCTTCTGCCAAACCCAAATCCCAGTTCTGGAGACTGTGAATAAACAGAATTCAGCTAAGGCTGACACTTAGACTTTACGTTCTATTTTCTGAACTTTTCTTCAAATGTTTAAGGGCAAGGAGTTGTGTTCCTTCACTTCTTGTGACTTGTCTGTTTCCTCCTGACGGGCAACTAGCAAACCAAAGTCCAACCTACCACTGACTCCCTCTGACAAGACTGACAAGACTTTTTAAAAACTCTCCTCAGCTGGCAGTGACCAATCAGAGAGAAGGGGGTGCACGCAGCATATCAATCAAACTGTGCTTGACAGGATGCATTAACCCCTAATCTCCCAGCTCTCTGAATCTGATACACTAAGCACCCTCCTTTTGGAGGTCAGTTCATCATTGGTGCCACAACTGATAAAGCCATTTTTGGTTGCCATCCACCTCACCTTTGAAGGCAGGGACACAGAGAGCAGGACTTGTGAGGCAGTTTTTAACTGGCAGGCTGGACAATATGGGAGGTGGTGATCCTTCAGTACTTCGGCCCCAAGCCATGTTAGGGCTTTAAAAGATCCAACATTATGAATTTTGCCCAGAAGGGGGCAGTCAATTCAGATTTTTCAGTATTGGGGTGACAGCATCCCTGTACTCTGCCCCTGCTGCATTTTGGACAAGCTGAAGTTTCTGGACAGTTTTCAAAGGCATCCCCACATGCAGCATATCACAGTAATACAACTTGGATGTAATCAGAGCACTGATCACCATGGCCAGATCCCTTTTTCAAGGAATGTCCATAGCTGGCATACCAGCTGAAGCTGATAAAAGATACTATATGCCACGGCCAGGATTCAGCAGTACCCTTAAGCGATGAACCTTCTTGAGGGCAAGTGCTACCCCTTCTAGAACAGGCTGACTCCTCAACACTTGAGCAGCTTTGTGATTGACCAACAGCACCTCAGTCTGGTCTGGATTGAGGAGAGGTAATTCCAATTTGCATGCGATATGGAGCTGTGTCTAACTGTAATATTTTGATCAGGACCTCACTTATACATGTGTATTCATTGTATGTTAATGAAGACTTACCTGATGAAGGAATAAATCTGAAACGCTGATTATATTATCCAGAACAGCGTAGTTTCTACTTGAAACGGATCTTATTTACTACAAGCCACAATATGTAGAT